CTATGATTCTATGATTGTATGTTTTGGATTTTGGAGTTGTTTGATCCAGGGATGGCAGTTCTGTCACATTGTACCAATGGAAGAGTCATATCCTCTTCTGTAGATGGAGTCACTTTTGCTTCTTCTGTTTCCCTAGATTCACTACCTCCGGCTCACCATTGCAGTCTTGAAGCATGAGAAATCCAGGAAATACCTGCTCAGCAATGTTCTGTATCCTTTGTTCCTCCTCTAGTCTCGGTTCTCCCTGCTGTCAATAATGCAGTCAAGGAGACTGCAAAGATCTGCAGATCCTGGGAGGCAGAGGCCACCCTATCTTTGAGAGGTCACTTCTAATTTCTCAGGTCTCCTCTGTCCACCTGACACAATTCTCTACAAATTCCTGCTTTGAGGAGGGAGAGCTGTGTCGTAGAGTTCACATCCTACTAAGAGGACTTAACTGGCCTCTGTCAGGTCCCTAGAGCAAAACTACTTTCAGAGCAGTCCAGCTGCCATGCTAGCATATGGACAGCCACTGTGATAACTGCGTGGGGCTTCTCCCAGGAGAAGGGGGCTCTGGATCTTGCAGAGCTTTGAGTGGTTGTTTGGAAGGGATCTCTCACTACATCTCTGGAAACACTCCCTGTACCTTCTCCCAACGTAGCTTCTGTGCTGGCTTTAACTTGGCTGTAGCTTTGATGTGCTCCGTTCGGTTGTGTTCTTCTACATTAAGAGCCCGCTGCGTGTGGAGGAAGCTGGTTTGCAGGAGCTCATTCCCACCACGTGGTGGCCAAACCGCTTCACCAAGGAGGTAAGTAAGGGCACATCCACTGAGGAGACTGAAGACATTTTGTAGCCTGCTGTCCCCATCAGCTTCTGCCTGAGGAAGTTGGATGGCCTACATTTCCAGCTGCATTAGCACTGGTGGACCTTGCAGAGCTGTGTGAGAGTGTAGCCTCTCCATTGCCCCGTCATCTTTATTGTCCCCTCAGAGGGGACGTTTGGGGTGTGTTGCGCAGGACAGAGGAGGGAGACAGTTTTCTGTGGCAACAGATTTGGAAGGGAACTTTGCAGCACCTAAGGAATTACAGGTTGACTTGGGTGTCCTCGAAAATCTCCTGCCCTTACTTGGGACAAGGCTGGGGAAGGCCTGTTCAGGTGTGCTGCCAGCTGCCAGCACAGGGGTTCTGGGAGTTGCTGCTCTCCATTGGGCAAGATGTTTTCCCTGTGCAGTGATCTCCTACTAACCAGTGTCTCTCCTCCATCCAGGGCAAGGAGAGTAAGGAGGTGAAGGATGAGAGTGCTGAGGAGAGACTGAGGCGTCGGGCATATGAAAGAGGCTGCCAGCGGCTCAAGAAACGCATCGAAGGTCTGTGAGGAAGGAGGGAAGTTGCCAAGGTCCCATACCCTTTGTGCAGCCACGGGCACCACCCCTTGAGCTGTTTCCAAATCTCCTTCATGACCTGAAGCCCAGCTGCGTTCCCACCACAACAGGCTGTGCTGCCGAGGCGGGGGCCAGCCATGGCCTCCCCTTTCTGCTGGAGGCTTATGAGTGCTGGGACCCTGCTGCACAGACCAGCAGCATCCCACCATGGGGCACGACAAACCAGAACTCCCCTGAAGGAGCATTGTTTGTCAGTCCTGGATGAATTCATTGCTGGGTGGCAGAGGAGGAAGTTTTCGGTGGTACGATTAGCACTCTCCTGGCAGCAGTTCTTCCTGTGCCCCCTCTGCTGAGGAGGTAGCCTTTCTCCTGGGGATGAGGTCTTGCAGATGGGGTTCATATGGATAGTTGCTCTCCTCTGCTTCTTTTCTGATGGCAGCCATCTATCCCCATTTTAGTGGTGGAAGGTCTCCAGGTTCAGATTCTGAAGCTGCTGCTGAACAACAAGGACAGAGGAGGGGTAAGTGTTCCATGGATCTTTTGGTACAGTATCTTCACATCACAAAATTTGTAAGGCAGAGATAAATCTACCACCTGCTTTTCCTTCTGCCAGGGGGAAGCCTCCAGATACATCTTCCTAAACAAATTCCGCAAGTTTCTTCAGGAAAATGCTAGCAACAGAGGGGTAAGTCAGAGGGCCAGCCTTCCTGCAAGCCCCACTCTGAGAGCTCTCTGGCATCTTCAGGCTGGGAGCTCTGCCCTTCTGGCTGGTCTGCTTCCAGATTTGGATCAGCTAGGGAACAGCAAGGAGTGGGGAGGAGGCAGAAGATCTGAGGCTAGAAACCAGGCAGCTTATCCAAGTCCTGTGCAGGGATTTATAGGAAAACGGCCCTTGGGAGCAACCTTGGGTGGAAGCTGAATGTCCTCCTAAAACCTCTTGGGGAGCAGGGCTGTGGAGTGCTCTGCCATAGCTGGCCTGCTGGCCTTAGCATCCTCTTCACTTGCCTGGGTGAGGACTGTTCTTCTGGCCCTAGATCAGGCTGTTGGCCTGCAGCTTTGCAAGGCAGGCATCCACTCTTGCAGGAAACTTTCTTCACTTGCATCTCCGTGTTCATCATCAGCCCTGTATTTCATGGTGAAGCATGTGGTATCCACCCTCCTCTGTCCGAACAGCTTGTTGCTTCAGTGCCCAGGATTTTCTAGAGGTGGAAACTGCTGCCTGCTGTCAGGGCTGAGATCTACCAGTGCTGGAAGCTAGAGGTTCTAGCAAGGCTGAGAACACAAAGTTTCTGCCTGCCCTGTGTGGCCACTGGGTATGGCCATGAGGCCACATGGTGTGAGGTTCAACAAGGCCAAGTTCTGGGTCCTGCACTTGGGTCACAACAGCCCCCTGCAAAGCTACAGGCGTAGGGAAGAATGTCTGAAAACGGCCTGGCGGAAAAGGCTCTGGGAGTGTTGGTTGACATCTGGCTGAAGACGAGACAGCAGTGTGCACAGGTGGCCAAGAAGGCCACCAGCATCCTGGCTCGTGTCAGCACTAGTATGGCCAGCAGGATGAAGGCAGGGATCATCCCCCTGGACTGGGCACTGCTGAGGCTGCACCTTGAATCCTGGATTCAGTTTTGGGCCCCTCACTAGAAGAACACTGAGGGGCTGGTGAGTGTCCAGAGAAGGGCAGCAAAGCTGTGGAAGGGTCTAGAGCACAAGTCTGGTGAGGAGCAGCTGAGGGACCTGGGAGTGTTGAGCCTGGAGCAAAGGAGGCTCAGGGGAGACCTTCTGGCTCTCTACAGCTGCCTGACTGGGTTGGAGCCAGGTGGGGGTTGGGCTCTTCTCCCAAGGAACAAGTGATAGAACAAGAGGAAAAGGTCTCAGGTTGCACCAGGGGAGGTTTAGGTTGCACATGAGGAAAAATTTATTCCCCAAAAGGGTTGTCAAACCCTGGCCCAGGTTGCCTAGGGCAGTGGTGGAGTTCCCATCCCTGGAGGGATTTAAAAACCATATAGATGTGGTGCTGAGGGACATGGTTTAGTAGTGACTGGGCAGTGCTGTGTTGGACTTCATGATCTTAAAGATCACTTCCAATCAAAACAGTCTTATGAATTTATGGGAGGAAGATGCACTTTCACACTTGCCCCCATGACTGAGCTCTCATCCTCGCCCTAGAACTTGACCGTGTTGTGCCCGCCAGAGTACATGGTGTGTTTCCTGCACCGGCTGATCGCTGCCCTGCGTTTCTTCTGGGATGGCCACAAGGCTGCACTGAGCAGCGAAGGTAAGGCCTGGAGGAGAAGCTTTGAAGGCATTTCTGTGGGGAGGACAAGGTTTGCCTCTTGGCAGTGCTCTCCAGGATGCTGGAAATTTCATGTTTCCCATGGGTGCGTGAACTCTCTGCCACTCTGTGTCTGCAGTTCCCGGTCACCTTGGGAAATTCCTGAGTTCAAATCCATTCCAGTTAACATCCAAACTTGAGGCTTGCCAAGGGGCATCTATACAGTTTGCTGGTTCCCCCTGTATGCTCTAGAGCGGGGTTCAGTATTGATTTATGAGTCTGTAGAAGCACAGCTCAGTGATCCCATAGTCAAAGTTTAGGGGAAGATAGTTGTCTGGTTTTGTGGTTCCTGGACTGTGGGATTAAGGGGAAAGCAAGTCAGTGCCAATTGCTTTCCCACCCTCAAACCCAACCTTGCCTATCCTGCCATGACCTGCTTGACACTCCCTTTCCTTACTTTAGGCTGACCCTTTCTCTAGACTCAATAAGTGCCTTATGATCCCTGTTGGACTGTGACAGAGCTGGAGTAGCCAGGTGGAGACCTGCTGAGTTTTCTGCTGATACAGTTTCCCCCAGTGACTGTGGCTGGGAGGGAGGAAGTACTGGGAGACTTGTTGATGGCCGTCGGTTGCTCCTATTTTGGCCTGGATCTAATACTTCCTTCGTTGTGGAAATCACCTCTGCCTTAATGGCTTGTGCTTTTATGAGAACAGAAGTTGTCACTAAATATTAGTCGGGGGTCTATCTTGGGGGAGGGCTTACATGTCTGCATGGATCCTGTGCATGGGACTCATGGAAAAACCAAATCTCTTTCTCTGCTTTAGAGGCCTATGTCCCTCCTCAACTCTTCTATAATGGGAAGGTGGACTATTTTGACCTACAGCGACTTGGAGGTCTCCTGTCACATCTTAAAAAGACTCTGAAAGGTAAGTGCCCTCCCTTCCAATACCTGCTTCCAGGTCCTGCCTGGAGTTTGCCCAAGAGACATCCCAGGAAGGGAGCTGTGGCTAGTGAATTGTGGTTAAAGTTAAGGAGGGGAGACTTGCATTTTAATTAGATGCAAATTACACTGGAGAAGACACTGTCCCTTTTGGCTGGAGTATCCTTCAAGTTAACAGTTGACTGGTTGTGTCCCTGAATAGGGCCTGTGGCTAGTGGAGGGAAGGGGATAGTCTGGGAATACCTTCTGGTGTGGTGCCCTTGCTACACCAAAGCCAAGGGCTGGGAGCTGCCACAGCATCTCTGACTGGCAGCCTGGCTCTGCTGGGTGTGGAGGACATCCAGGATTTACTTGCTGTAGTTCCCAGGACAGGCAGCAGCAGCCCTGAGTATGTACTGCAGCCATGTGTTTGTATGCAACATGCTACCCTGGCAGCAGACTTTCAAAGGCTCCCTTTGGTTGGGAACTTCTTGCTGTTCCGTCAGACTTTGTCTCTGGTTTCTGGTCCATGTGGCACTTGCCTTTGGCTCAGATCTCTCTTCTCCTTCCCAAGTTTGTTGGCAAGATTAGGACCATTTCCCCTGTCTCACGTTGATCCCTGGCTGTTCAAAATGAGCTTACTTCACTTGAGAACCATGTAATCTCCTGTGGTCTCTTACCAAGATCTTCCTGTCCAGCTTTAAGGACAGGGCTGTGGACTAGAGGACATGTCCTTCAGGCTTTGTACATCAGAGCCACCAGCAGCCTTCCTCTGGGTGGAGGATGGTTTCTGGTCTGAGTCTCAGTCCTAGTGACCTGGGGATGTCTCATGGGACAGCATTAAGAGAGCTTAATAAATGCTCTCAGGGCTGGAGTTTTCTTCCCTACCCTGGTCCAGTTTGGCTCTGATGGTTGTCTCCTGGTTCCTCAGTCATTCTCTCTGTTGCTGCTAAGACCAGGAACAGAAATGGGTCCTGGGTGAGCAGCATCTGTCACTGCATGGTCTTTGCTGTGTTAGCAAGGGCACATCTATTCCACATCAGGAAGCCGGTGGGAAGGTTAGCTTGTTCTGATGCAGCATCCAGCTTCACTAGCCACTTCTGTACTGCCGAGAGGCAGGAGAGAGGATGAGCTTTGAGCTGCCTCATGGGAAGCAAAGGGCAGCTCCTGTGTTCAGAGCTGTTTTGATGTGCTCTGTGCAGATGACCTGGCTGTGAAAGCCAACGTCCTGATCGACCCTGCAGAGCTGCAGGCCGTGACTATGGATGATCTCGATGAAGATGAGGAATCAGCGACGTCAGCAGCACAGGTGAGGGCCCTGGTGCCAGGGCAGCAACCTCAGCCTCTGGCTACAAGAGCTTTGCTTTGGAGGAAGGCAGTGTCTGGGCCAGGACTGCCAGACCGTAGGCTACCAGATAAAGAGCTGCACTTGCGTGAGGGTCACTGGAGGTCAGCGAGGTCCTGGATGGGTGGTTTGAGCAGCAGAATTTTCTTTGCTCTGCTTTGCTCAGGGTGTGAGGCAACTGCAGACAGAGCAGCTCTTTGGTCTGCGGATCTGCTGCTTGTACCTGGCACGTGCCCATGGAGGGAGGAATATCTGTTGGCTAACCTCACACTGCTGGCCCAGCCACCATAGGAAGGGTGTCTGCTCACCTTCCAGTGGCTGCTGCGCATCTGCGCCAACATCCTCGCAGGCACAAGGGAGGAAGAGCCGGCAGGCAAACAGCTAAAACTCTCTCCCCCTTGATTTCTTTTTGGTCTCAGCGTCCCTCTGCTGCCCTGGCCATTGGCGGAGCTCTTGCCAGACCTGGCTGGCTCAGCTCCCCCACCCTGGGCCGTGCCAACCGGTTCCTCAGCACGGCGGCCGTCAGCCTGATGAACCCGCGGCGGCCGCTGGGCGCCCTGGAGAAGGTCAAAGTGCGCACGCTGAGCGTGGAGCAGCGGACGGAGGAGGACAGTGAGTACTTCAGCTTCCTGCGGGCCTGGCCCAGGTGATGAGGGTGGCATCTTCCAGCTCCTAGTACCCTCAAGAGGAATACAGCCTCTTTACTGCCAGCATCGCTCCTTCCCATTCCTAGGGCATGCTGACACCCACAGGTCCACAGCTAACCACTTTGCCATCCTGAATGTGGCACTGGTGATGCTGTCACTCTGTGTGTGTAAGGAGGAGATGTCTTCTGAACACAGACCAGCTGGAGGATGACATAGCAGCGCCATTGCTGTAGGGTTGGGGCAGGCAGCATGTACAGGGCTCGAGGAGGTGGGACTTACGTGGCCTGGGTCTTTTTGAACAGATCTGGCAGGTCAGCCTGATGCAGGCAGTGAGATGGGAGTGGTGTGTTAGTGAATCACATGGGCTGGAAAGGAGCACTGTATTACAGAGGCACAGCAGGGCTTTGGCTTCAGAGACATGCAGGGAGAAGCTGAGGTGCCAAAATGCCTTGCTGAGAACTTCTCTCCTGTCTTGGGGATGTGTTGCAGTTGAAGGCAGCCATGGAAATGAAGGTCTCTTACTGGGCAGACCCCCAGAGGAGCCAGACCAGCCCATCACAGAGAACTCCCTCCTGGAAGTCCTGGATGGGATAGTGATGATGTACAACCTCAGTGTCCACCAGCAGCTTGGGAAGGTCAGTAGCACGTGCTGTGCAGGGATCCATTCCCCCAGCGTCCATGCTTCTACACTGACTCTCAGTTTTCTACTTATTTAGTGCCTGTGTGTTCCCTTTCCTTATCCCAATGCCCAGGGGGATCTGGTTGCACACTTACGTGTTTTGGAAATAAAACCCAAACTTATTTATTGATGTAATCTGCTGTTTTTCAGATGGTTGGTGTGTCAGATGATGTGAATGAATACGCCATGGCACTGAAAGACACAGAGGAAAAAATCAGTCGATGCCCAAAGCGGGTGAGTGTCTCTGGACTCCCAGCTTCCTTGTCTGGTGGAGCCTTAGTATCTGGCAAAAAAGGTGAAGCACAGTGGGTGGTTTCTGGCCTTGGAGCAGCCAATGTCTTGGATGGGGTAGTAGCCCATGCCTGGAACTGGCAGCCACATTTCAAATTGTGTCAACCCACTGTACCACTGCATCAAGGAAGAGAGGGACTGAAGCAACCACTTTGGCTTCTCCCAGACAACATGTAGCAGCCTGCAAACCTCCACAAGCACCAGGCACCTCGGGGCTGATTTCCTAGGGTGGGGACACATCTGTCCTATTCCAGCTCAGAGACTGAGTGTATCTGATGATGCATTAAAATGTACCTGACAGTAGGTGACTCTGCAGCTGCTGCCCACGCTGGACTAGTGTCTGCATCAGGCCTTGTGGGCTGCAGCTGAGACTGATAAGTGCTATTATAGCCCTGATTCCCACTCCCTCCACAGAAAGGCTGCTAACCGCTCTCCCTCCTGCCAATACTCCCTAGCTGGTCCCAGGGCAGTATTTGCTTTTGCATGGTTTGTCCAGCTCTGAAGAAGGATGCTGTAAGTGGCAGTGACATCTGCCCTCACATCTCTGCACTCTTTTCAGAGGAGAGACATTCACGAGGAACTGCTGAAGAGCCAAAAGGTCTTCTCCGAAAAGCTCAATCACCTCAGCCGACGCCTCGCTTGGATAAATGTCACCATTTATTCAAAGGTGAGCAGTTCAGAGGAGAGCAAGCAAGTGTGCCTCTGTATCTGTTCTGCTTGGCTTATGTGTTACAAGTGTCATTTTCCCTGGTGCTGGAGTAATTCTGATGATCTCTGGGGCTTGTTTTTCCCTTCTTGTGCACCAGAGACTCCTTCCTAGGCCTGGACCCTGTCCTGTCCCAGGCCTGGTCCTGTAGTGTTTGTGAGGACACAGGCCAGCTTGTTCTTAGCTGTGCGTGGTGGCTTACCCTTGGGACATCAGGCCCCTGCAGATACCACAGACAGAAAGGTGCAGCAGCTCAAACGGAGATTCAGGTCTCAGGGCTTGTCTAGAGACTACTGAGAACCATTCCCTTGAGCTGTGGTGTGTGTCACATGGGGGTCCCGCTAGTGCTGCTCTGCCTGAAGTCTGCAGGATCCAAGCCTAGGGCTAGGGGGTTTTGTTCAGGTGTTCTCCCCTTCTTTCCCTGATTCCCTGATAGAGTGCATTCTGCACTTAGGAACCGGTGACTGTTTGCACAGCTTCTCCCTTTTTCCCTGCATTCGTCGTTTTCCAGGATAAAGTCTCTGGTCCGTTTTCTCATGAGCAGTTTTGCTGTTATGCTCTGCTGATCTCTTCCTCCTGTCTTGCCTTTCACATTGCCTTGCCCTGTCTCTATTAGTAGCCTTTTTGTGCTGGGGTAGAAGACACGTTTCCTGGAACATGCCGTGGCAGTTGGATTGCTGCATGTGTCCTGGGATGGAAGCAGGGAGGGGAAGAGTGGTGGTTCCTATGGAGACGTCTGGCAGAGCTGCAGTGGCTGATTCTGACTCAAGAGCTCTTTCCTCGTCCCCTCCTTCATCGAATCACAGAAGGGGTTGGGTTGGAAGGGACCTCTACAGGTCATCTGGTCTGACTCCCCTGCATTCCCAGAGCAGGACTGCAAGGCACAGTGCTGTGCTGCAGAAGCTCTCCAGCTGTATTAGCTGCATTCTGGCCCATGCTTGCCAGAAAATAAACCTTTCTTCCTAGACTGCTCTTGAAAGGCTGAAGGGCATTACAAGGGTGCACTGCATGTATCACTGTGATGGCACAAACACTATCCATGTCTCTAGATGATCTATTGTCATACTAAACCCGTCAGGAGCACGGTGTCACCTTTCTGAATGAATCAGCAGCATCCAGGAGTGAAGGCTACAGCCTTCCCCACTTGTGCTCCTGTCCTGGTCTGCAAGGCCCACAGGGAGAGGAGGTCACTAGCTGGCTTGGGTGGTGGGATGTGCCCCAGGAGCCAAGTGAGCTTGCTTTGGAGTGGAGTGTGGGAGGAGCTGGTCCATACTGCCCATACCTTCAGGGCTCCAGTTCACAGCCATCACAGGTCCCTACCTGACAATTAGTCACCGGTTTATTCTGAGCTGAGGGACTCACGGTTCGACAAAATGGAGCTCTACAGCTTAAAAACACCCTTTGTTTTAAAACAGATAATCCTGCCTTCAAAACATCCCTGCAGGAAGCTCCTTTCAGCTTATTTTATTGCAATGCTGTATTTATCCATCACACTGTGGGCAGTCATGTCTGGGTATCCTCTTGGTGTTGGCTTTCTACTAGCTGGGCAATACCTGAAATGACATTTCAAGGTTATCAAGTCTTCATAAAACCAATCACAGCTTTCTTTACCTTAATGTTATCTGCACAATTGCTTTTTACCCTGAGAGCAACAGTTGAGCTGCGTGTTGGTGTCAAGACGAAGAAGTCTTTAGGCAATTTAGTTGATTTGTGCTGGTTCAGTCTAATTTACTAAACAAACCCATGTAAAACAAAGGTAGTAGCAACATATTTTAGAAAAGCCACTAAGCAAACAAGATCACTTGTCTGCACCTCTGATTTTTTTTTTTTTTTTTTTTTAATTGGAAGTGCAACCCTCCTCCATCTATTTTTATGCAAATTGCTATTACTTATGATAGTTCTTGGCACTGCAGGATATAGAATAATGTTTTGTCTTCTTATGGCTTTGTTGGTGCTGATTTTTATAGCTTAAAGTTACCCAGATGCCCTTAAATTTCCTGGTTTAAATTTATGACCTCCTGAGTTTTGCTTAGAGAAGCAACAGGCCGATGTTCCTTAGGACAGTAAATCTGGTTGAATGGCTGGCACAGAATCTGAAAAGCTGTGGCCACCTATTGCAAAGATCTGAGTTGGTATGAGCTTTCCGCCTGCTCCCACTTAATTCCCACGAAGGACCAGCTTTCTTTCCAGTGGATTTATGCTGAGTTTGCTGGTGCCTGCCCTATTTCAGGCAGCGTACTTGGAATAAAAGTGAGCACGCGTTTTTTGCGATCAAGCCTTTGTGGTCAGATATGCTTTACCAAGGAGTAGTTCTTGGAGAGTTTCAAGTCTCGGTGAGACAAAGCTACAGTTGATGTAATGTCATGGTGATGATGTTTATGCTCTGAGCTTGAGGTTGGTGTAGAGATCTCTGATTGTTCCTTCCACCTGATGCTTCTGTGGCTCTGTGAAAACACTGGTCGGCACAGATCTGGTTAATGAGCTTGGAGTAGTGCTCTGAGGAACATCTCAGGTGTGGAGATGTTTCTGCAGACTGAGCGTGGTGCTGACTGTTGTACTTCTCCAGAGAGAAGCTGAACAAAACTGACTGGGGATTGTATTCTCTCTGGCCAGGAGAAGATGCAGGACATATATTGGCTGCTGCGGGTGTGCATCCGCACCATCGAGCACGGCGACAGGACGGGCTCGCTTTTCGCTTTCATGCCCGAGTTCTACCTCAGCGTGGCTATGAACAGCTACAGCGCACTCAAGAACTACTTCAGCCCTGTAAACAGCATGGAGGAACTTCCAGGTGAGGGGATGGAGTGCAGCCTTCCTCATTCTGGCCTGATAAAGTTTAAAGCAAGCCACATCCTTATGGTGAACTAGTGGTAGTTGGGCAGCATCTCTTCTGTGTCCTTTGCTGGTTGTGATGTGCTGCACCAGTGTGTTGTCTGCATGCCGAGTGCTGTTCCTCAAGTAGGTGCCCACTGGTGAGCCATGGCCATAGCTCTGCTTGGGCAGGGAGCTCGTGCTTTGCCCAAAGCTGTTGCAGTGTTGGCTGCAGTGAAAACCACTGGCAGCTCTGGGTTTTGTTTCCAGGTAGGTACCAGGAAAAGGCTGGGTTGCTGGAAGATGTGGTTGTCCCAGCAACATGTGCCACTGTCTGCTGGTTTCTGAGTGGGAGGAGATGTGCTATGAGCGCAGGAATTGGGACTGCTTCTGAATCCCCCTGGGATTTCGGTACATTCCTATGGAGGTGACCGGCCACTTGATGCCATGTGTCTGTGTTTGGGTGGATTGCCTCTGTGCACATTCTGTGCTTTTCCTGGCTAAGTGATCTCAATGAGCTCTTAGCAAGTAGTCCTGTGCTTTCCAGAGCCTGCAAAAGGCAGAAGAGCTTCTGTTCTCACCAGAAGTCTTCACATCCATTAAGTGAAGGCTGTGCCTGCCGTTCAGGGAGCAGCACGACTGAGCCGTAGCTGATCTCTTCAGGGCCTGCAGGCTGGACATGGCCTTTCTGTATAGATCTAGGGTGTTATTTGTGGTACTCAGCCTCTTCTGCACTAGGCATCTCTCCCTTCCCATCTGACTCAATTGCATGGTTTTATCTTTCTCTGAGTAACTGTTGCCTGCTCTGCAGAGCGAGGTGAAAAGTTCTGTTGGAGGTGAATGTGTTTTGCCAGCTGTCTGTTTTGACAGCTAGGCATGGAACAAAGCTTCAGTTGTAGCAGGCATGGATTCCATGACCTCTGCCGTGTCCCTGCGATCACTGGGACCACGGGGCTGCCTGTCAGGCTGTGGGCATGACCCCTGTTCCCTCCCCTTCTTTGCAGGCTATGAAGAGACCTTGATGCGCCTTGCTGCCATCCTGGCCAAGCATTTTGCTGACTCAAGGATTGTGGGCACAGGTAAAGCTGGACTTCTCTGCTTGGGGGGATAGTGGTGCAGGTCTGGCTCGTCCCAATGCCAGTGGCTCACGAGACTTCTCTTGGGACCTATCTGCTGAATTTGTTGCTTTATGCCTCAATGTACAAAGAGGCTGGGCACTGCCTTTGTCTGGTGTGTCCTGCATATTCTATGGTTAGATATAGGGCCTTGGATACCCTTTTGAGAGCAGGATTCATGTTGCAGCTACTTGTGTCGCCAGTCTGGAGTTATTCCTTAGCTACCTGAGCACAAGCATGCTCTCCACATCAGCTGGGACAGGGTGCTTCTAAATGAGGGCCAGGCCCTTCCAGCCTCTGGTGCTCGGGTGCTCCCTGCTGCGCTGTGTGTCCTTGGGTGCCTGGCCTAGTCCCTTCTTGTTCCCCCTCAGACATCCGGGACTCCCTGATGCAGGCGCTGGCCAGCTACGTCTGCTACCCCCACTCGCTGCGTGCTGTCGAGAGGATCCCAGAAGAGCAGTGAGTGCTGCCCTGCCTGTTCCTGGGGAGCTGGGGCAGGGCTGGGGTGGTGGCAAGGCTGGGTGGGGGAGCAAGTGGGCTGCCACGCACTGCTGAGGGTCCACGAGCTGCAGCAGGGTGCTGGAGTTGATTTGGGAGCCTTCAATCACCCTTATACCAGTGGCTTTGCTCTGCCCCAGCTCCATGGGTACTACTGTGTGTCCTGATTAATCCCCTGTCCCCAGACCCTTTGGGATGACCTATGTCCTTGTCTGGCAGGCGGATCTCCATGATGAAGAACCTCCTGGCTCCCTATGAGCAGCGGCCCTGGGCACAGACCAACTGGATCCTCGTCAGGCTGTGGCGGGTGAGCATCCTGCATCCCTGCCCCTGTCAGCATTTGGGGCTGGCTGGTCACTGAGCGTTTTGCCTTCCAATAGCAACAAACCCAAACTGTTTTCCAGCCTCTGAGATCTTTCCTTGTCTGTTTTATCAGGGCTGTGGCTTTGGGTACAGATACACACGGCTCCCACACCTGCTGAAAACCAAGCCTGAGGATGCCAGCCTTCCGAGCCTGCAGAGTGAGTGGGGCCGGGGATGGGCCCACTGGGGATTATGATACCTGGTTTGGGAGGACCGACCTTTCCCTCAGCAGCTGCCCCTGCTATGGGCTGCGCCAGCTGGTGAGATGGCTGCTGAAGTAGGGGCCTCCTTGCCAAATAGCCAGGCCTGATCTTTGCAGACAACATTTCCTTTCCTGGACATCATCATCCTCTCTGCACTGGCTGGTGACTCTCTGGCGTGCTGGGTGGTGGATTAGATTCATGACAAAGAGAGGTTCTGCCCTTCAAGGGAGAAGAGAGAGGCCCAGGGCTGCATCCTTATCAGAGCTGTACCCCAAAATGTAAGCAAAAGAAGGCTCTTTGATGTCCACAGCGAGCAGTTGCTGGGGGAAGGGAAGAGTTGGTGAGTGTGCCGAGCAGTAGAGGGTACCCTGTGAGACAGAGTGGTGCCCAAGGCAGCAGGGGACTGGAAAAGTTTGCAAGCCCAGAGTGTTCTAACCAGGCATCTCTCTTGGAGCGTGGCAGAGCCTGTCCTGCCCTTGGCACTGCAGTTTGGTTCTCAGCACTGGCACAGAACTGAAGAGTTCCTCGACTCTGTTGTGGGTGAGGAAGATGTGGGGAGGAGAAGGTACCTTTCCTGAGCTGAAGAACACATCCCTGGCTTCACCCTGGTAGGGTCTGAGCCTGTCCAGATGCATTCCTGACCCCTCTTCTGCTGTGGAAAAGGCTTTGTGCCAGCCTTGCTCCTGGAGAGCTGCACAGGGGTCGGGGACAGAGGATGCTGCAGGCAGCCTGTGGAGGTGCACACTAAGCCCTGTCTGCTGGGGAGAGCTGCCTGTCTCTGTGCTAATGGCACTCTTGTTCTCTTTCTCTCTCCTGCCTGTGGGTGCCCAGGAGATCTCTCTGTTGCTAGTTTCCAGAGTAAGTTTGTTGTGTAAACCTCCCTTGTCTGGTGAAGTAGCTTTAGAGAGCTCCCTCCTTCCCTCCTTCTGTTTATAGACGACAGCTTTCTCTGGGAGACAGGGGGCTTCACGCGGTGGGTGCTGTGCTCAGTCACGTCCCTGGGTGATACCAGGCAGGCTGGTGCCACATGGCAGTCACTGAGGCTGCATCCTGGACCTGCTCTTGCACCTGTTTTGTCAGGTTACCGCTGGGGTCAGAGCTGTGCCAGCCTTGGGTTCCTCTCATCCTTGGAGAATGATGAGGAAGCCCTGGTACGTATGCAGGAGGGACCTCATGACTGTCCCCTCGCCCTCCTGCTGCACAAGCAAGCCCCCAGATGGCTACAACCAGTCCTGTGGGGCAGTGACCAAGCTCCCCACATCCTGGGAAGCTATGGGGCAGAAGCAGAGCTCCTCAGCTTTCAAGGCCTCCCTCCATCCATCTCAGGGTGGCTCCGCAGAGTCTGAGCCTGGAGCAGGCTGGGCTTGCTGCTGGGGACTTGCTCCTGGGATAGCTATTTTAAGGCACAGCCAAATCAATAATGAATGCTGATTTAATTGAACAAGGTCAAGGGACTCAGAGGTGTCCTTGAGATGCTGCCCAGGGAAGGAGAAGGAGATGACCCCCCCCACCTTCCTACCCATCCATTTTCACCTTGTTGTGAGTTGAGCATTGGCAGGGACAGCAGGGCAAACTGCTGAGCTGAAGCTGAAATCCCTCTTGTCTGGGTCTGCTCCTGCAGGCCGTTCCAACGGGAGCCTGGGCAAATGCCTCTTTGGTGCTCCAGCCTTGGCCTGCTTTGGGAATGCTTCCCTGGAGGGCTGTGTTCTGATGCCTGCCTGGGTTAGCCCAGGGACGGGGGGAGGCTCAGAAAGGCCACGTGTGTTCCTGCCTGCTCCCTGAGTTGCTCCTTAGCCCCGCTGGCCAGATGGCTCCCATGGCAGGGCAGTGCCTCCAGTCTGGCTCCTGAGAGCCGACGGGCTCCGCTCCGCGGCCGGGGTGGTTCTGCTTGGCGGCTGGTTTCACCGGCCCGGTGGCTCGCAGGCAAGGGGGGGTGCTGTTGGGGCACGCCACGGTGAGCAGCAGCGGTGGCCCTGTGCCAGGTCCTGCCTGGCTTTTATCGAGCTGCAGGGTGGCTTCAGGTTGCAGCACAGGGCTCCTCTGCTCCAGGCCTTCTGCCCACCCATCCATCAAGTGGTGGAGGGGAGGAGGCTGGGACCGTGAGATCATCTAGCTGGGCTGTTTTGCAGTGTTGGCCGGAGAATTCACCTGCATCCCCTTCCCAAATCCAGCAAATTGCCTAAGCTAAATAGGTCTTTCAGGAAGGCATCCTGTCTCAATCTGACAACCCCAAAAGCATCAGCTGGTGGCAGCTAACTGTCCAAGCCCTTCTGATGGTGGTTCCTCACCCTCAGAAATAAATGCGTCACTTCTTCCCGATGGGGATGTACCTAACCTCATCTTGTGTGTTCTCACATCTTTTCTCTGTTGGGCTAAACTCTGTGCATTACAACATTTTATTCTTCAAAAATCCTTCTGTACTAGGGTGAACTCTCTTCTTGGAGATTTTTAATGGTGAAAAGAAAGCATATCTTATTCAGGAACAGGTTTTGATTTTTCGTAAGCCTCTGTCTTCACCCTTCCCATGTTTTTAAGAGCCCCAAAGGTGCCAGTGTCATGCTGGCTGGAACACCTCCTGATCTTCAGGTCACAGAGCCAGAACTTGCATTAGCCTGTTTGCCAGCACCTTGCTTTGGAGGCACACACAAGTCCCAGGGGCAGGCTGGGGCAGCCTGGTGCCTTGCGCTCAACCATATCAATATCTCATCCCCCAAATGCTGCTTGCTTTCCTTCTGGCTCACCCCACAACATTCCCTTTGGTCCTCTCTAAATACATCTTCGAGTGTTTGTGGCACAGTTTTCTGGTGATGTGAGTGCTGCACCCCCAGCTCACCTCTTTCACTGCTGGTTCATCAGTGCAACAGCCACAGCTGTTAGAGATCTACGTCTGGATCCTTTCAAAAACTGAGATAAGTGTTGGGTGGGACTGCTTTGCTTCTGAATCTGGTCTGTTTGGGGCTTTCCTCCTTTATGCTCCCAGCTCTGCTGTAAATGGTGCAGCATCCAGAGCCCCTCTTGGGCTGCTCACCAAGAAATCTCACAAACAGCCCTTTTATAAATCTTCCTTGGTCATTAGCAAAGTATAAAGTACATAATTATCTTCCTGTGATGAAAGTACATGACCCTGCTTCTTTACAATTAGCTACTAGGAGCAGTAATTGAAGGGTTCCACTTTGTCTGCTTTATTAATTTTTAACTCTATTAATGGGCCTCTGCTACTGGTAGACTTTCTCCCATTAACACTTTTTCTAATAATTGTGCTAGAATTTTTTCCTATAGTTCAAGAAACTTCGTGTGTAGTGTGGTTAGTTGTGGATGCTTCTTTTGAGTCTTCTCCTTCTATTACCCTGCTTATTTCTGCTTGTTTTCATCAGCCACTGGCTATGTTTGATCATGTTCACTTTACCTGTTACATTTTAACTTGCATCTTTGCTTCACCCTGAGCTCAGTGAGCCTTTTAACCCAGGTGCTTGCTGCAGCATTGGGCCTTTCTGGCTGCCAAATAATCTTAAAGAACTTGGTGTGTTTATTCACTTTTTCCCACACACCTAGATGGTTGTTTTTTTTCCCCTCTGACTGTTTTGCTTATATTTTTGTGGGGAAGTTTCTGTTCTGGAAGCATCAAGGTATATCTATAACTGCTTGGGGCCACACTCTGGTGCCCACATTAAATGTATTGAGGTCATAATTTCTGGCCTTAGAAAACCACCAATTTCTGTTCCAATGACTGCTCTTTATCTATCATAATGAAGGCTAAGACAAGATTGAGTGGCTTTTGTATTAGGGAGTTACAAGTTTTAGAAACACTAGTGATATAGTATTGCCAGGATCAAGAAAGTAGACACATTAGCGACTATCCACAGACTCCCTGTGAAGTGACACCCCTGTCTGAAATGGCACATGCCAGGCTGTGTCTTTACAAACCAGGAGGGCAGTGGTAACTAGGACATGAAGGAGGTGGGTGGAAATGCCTCAGCAATGGTGAACACCTTGCAAATGAAGAAGAAGACAGCACCAGGGCTAGGTTTCTGGATACCACTAGTGGTTGCACACTAGTGGAGAACTTCATCTCGGAACTCATGCAAGGGGATTAAGCTACTCTTACGGTATTCCAGGTCTGGTTCATTATGTTGCTTTCAAAGAGTAGCAGTGAGGATTGTGTCTTCAGATTCAGAATCCTCTTGGGAGCAACAAAAGCCAAGGAAGTCCACTTTTTCATGGTGTTAGCGTGAAACCTTAAAAAACCCCTACATGATTGTGGAGAAGTTTGACCAGAGGCACCACTTTTTAATGCCTTTATAGACTGGCACAGTCTTTGCCAGCAGCAAGGAAAGCATTTAAGAACCTAGAATTGGAGGTTTGGAGCAAGTTCACACCACTCTATTGGAAAAAGACCATGAGGAAATAGTAATTGGCTAAAAATCAGGATAAAACAAGTTATTACAAGAATAAGAGCATCCTTCAAAAAGCCAAATCTGTCTTCAAATGAGGTAAACTTTGGCTGGGCGATTCATGTTGACTTGAAACGTTGGTATAATAGGCTTTGGCATCAGACCAGCAGGACAGCCCACAGAGTGCCCACAGAGCTCATGCACGAGGAGTGGTGATCCTTGCCGAGAACTGCTTTGGTACTCGAAGGCTGGGAGGGAGCTAATATGTCAGCAGTTTTGATACAAAGCACTTTTTACACCTTGAGGGGAGATTGGGGAGAAAAATAACACAAAAGCTCAATGCTGCAAAAGGATCTTCAAACTCTGAGTGACTGGGAAGATAAAATGTAGATGGAATTTGGCATTGCCAGATGTGGAGTGGTGAACGCAAAGGGAAAGTGAGATTAAAAATCAATGGGCTGTAAGATGAGCATAACCCTTAGACAAGATTGCAGAGTGGGCTCCCTGGGACCTGTCTACGCACCTTCCTGAGAAAAGAGTCACAGTTTTTCAGGTGTGACCTCCCCAGGACCAGGTAAAGGGGTGGCTCATCCTCCTGCCATCACCTACCTCCTCTAGCAAGAACCCTCACTTGTCCTCTGTTCAAGCTGGTATCCCACAAAACCCCTTTATGAGATGGTGCCCAGACCATTGTTTCCCAGCCAGGACTGATATTTGGAGTCGTTCTTCTCCAGGTGCAAAATTTCATCTGTCTTGTTGAATATGATATTTTTTTTTTTTGCCAATTGTCAAGTTTCTCAGGGTGCCTTTAGCACATGAGAGAAAGCCCTTTGTTCAGTGTCATCTGCAAATTTGGTAAGGGTGAGGGTGTGCTGTGCCCCGTTTCCATCAGTGACAGAGAATACAATGAGATGAGCTCCAGTGTTGACTTCTGGGCTTCTCCACTTGGACCTTGCAACCAGCAAGTTCCTGAGGATCTTGAACTAGAATTCTTTTGAAGGGGTTATCCTTGAACAGCCATCTTATTGTAGTCTTTTGGAAAATATTGGCTTGATGCCCAGTCAAAGGAACAAATTACACAGCAGCAGTTATGAGGGAAGGAAAATGGAATGAAACAAAACCACATTATGCCTTTGTGCAAATCTGCCATGCACTTGAGGTTTGGATGCTGCGTGTGCTTCTGATTCCACCTCTCCAAAGAAAATCTGGGAGAACTGTCAGGGCTCAGGGAGGAACGGCGACAGGGACAAAGATGTGACAGTTTCCTGTCAAAAGACTATCATAAAGGTCTGAAATCATGGCTTACTGGAGAGCAGCATCTGGCTGTCTCTCCCAACAGAAGGAGGGGGTTGCAGAGAACAAATATTATCAAGTAAAGTGAGAAGGAGCCAAGCTCAGACCTGCAGTCCTCCCACCACACAAAACTGAGCTGTGAAATGCTGCTCCAGGACACATTCAATGCCAAAGGCTTACAGAGTTTCAGGGGACACTTAAAAATAATAAAAACAAACAAACAAACAAACAAAAAAAACCAAACAAAAACAAAACTGGGCAAGAAATCCACTGAGGACCACTAAATCCACTCAAAAAGATGTCTGGTTTGGGCAGTCCCTGAGCCATGTGTACCCAAGGGCTGGAAGAGTACTTGTGGATGGGAGTGGGACATCAAAGACATTTGTTGTGATGAAATCCCTCCCAAAAGACATGTTTTTAGGCAGGATCAGAGCCAGGGTGCTGACCTGCCTGGAGTGATTATGCACTGTGAGACATCAGTGCATGTCCTCCATAACAACAGAAGCTCATTGTACTTGCTACTGGGTATTTGCAGAATAATTTATCCTGTTCCCATTGGAGCTGACAGTCTTCTGCCACATTTGTCTGGCTTTGCTAATCACAACTAGCAAAATGCCTGTAGTTATGTCTAGCTTCTGGATCCCTGGGGACGTGATGGAGGTCACCCAGTGTTTCCTTTGCCCGTGCTGGTGCTGGCCTTTCAAGCAGGCTGCCACCCCAAAGACCTTCTGCAGTCACAGCACAGCTTGTTCCTCTGGGCACCGCAATGCTGGCGCTGCCAGAGTTTCCACCTGCTCTTACTTATTGGTAGCTTCTAGTAGAGGGAGAAATAGTTAGGTTGGTTTTTTTTTTTCCTTATATTGGGTAAATCTGCTCAAATTTCTTTCCCCAAGCCCTGAATTTTAGCCTCTGCTTGAGCTCTGGTACCCTTCCCTCGTAGTCTTGAATGACTTTGTGAGCCTCTCACTGACAGTGGGTCCTTCTGCTGGTGAGAAGCATCTATCCCATTTGTGCCTCTTTCCTTTCCCTGCCCACCCATGGGGGCCAGTGCCCCACGCAGCCCTGACTGTGCTTGCCAGCTGCTGGGTCTGCCCCCATCTGTGCTCTTGATAGTGAAGAGGCCCAGAGCTGAGATGCCCCCTACCACAGGGATGTGTGCTGGGCCTGAACCTGGCTGGGGAGCATGGGTAGCTCTGCCTGAGCCTGCCGAGGTCAGGGCCAGCCCTGGCTCTGTGCAGAAGCCTCTCAGGAGTGGGATTTACTAGGTGCCTTCCTCCTCAGATGCAAGCCAACAGGCACAGCCACGTGAGGCCAGGGGTGGCTGCACTGGCTCTGGGCTGCTGCTGCCACTCTGGTATTGGGAGCAATCACTGCTGGGCTGACCGTGGGCCTCCACAGGGCTGAGCCAGAGTGACACTGAGCTGAGCTGCAGGGCTGCTGAGCTGCCCGGCAGCGCTCCTGTGGACACGGACAGCAGCGAGCGTGCAGGGCTCTTCCCTCACTCATTCAGGCTGGTGTTACAAAAGAAGTGCTGGGAGGCCAGGGAGGCGAGGTCGGCGCTCAGAGCAGTCCCTGCACCCCAGCTCCGGTGCCCTGCCAACCCTGCTTGCCGCAGGACCCAAGCCCAGAACTGGGCTTCCCACCTGCCCTTGCCCCAGGGAACGAGCTGAAGCTGAAGCTGTCACTGTCTGGTTCCAGAGCCGTGTCCCTCCACCCTGCTGCAGCAGCACATGGCAGACCTGCTCCGCGGCGACCGTGACCTGGCCCCCAGCTTCCTCAACAGCGTCCTTAACCAGCTGAACTGGGCTTTCTCCGAGTTCATCGGCATGATTCAGGAGGTGAGCGTGCCGCGGGTGCCGGCGCTGGCTGGGAGCCTGGGTTTGGGCGGGCAGTAGCTCCGTGGCACGCGTGGGAGCTGAGTGGTGCTGAGGGTGGCGGCTCTCCTTTTGGGCAGGGACAGCTTGCTGAGCTGTTTCTGTTGCTTGGCAGATCCAGCAGGCAGCAGAGCGCTTGGAGAGGAACTTTGTGGACAGCCGCCAGCTGAAAGTGTGCGCCACTTGCTTCGACCTGTCGGTGAGCTTGCTCAGGGTGCTGGAAATGACCGTCACACTGGCTCCGGAGATCTTTCTCGACTGGAATCGCCCATCATCGGAGCTGCTCCTTCGGAGGCTTGCCCAGGTATTGGCCTTTAGCAGGGTGGCAAGAAGAGTGTGTCCAAGTGGCATGAGGACCCTTCTGGCCTCTCCCCAGATGTGTGTGGAATGGGGGCTCCTGCTGCAAAGGCTGCAGTATTTAAAGCTGCTGTAGCAAATCCAGCTGCTGCAGAATGAGTGGTGCTCCCTAAATCTCTGCATGTTAACTGCTCAACCTCCTTTGCAACTAGTCTGTCCACAGCTGATTTTCACCTCTGCTTGGGAGGGAGGATGATGGCTACTTAAATCTTCCTTCAGAGAGGCTATGGCCAGTTTCTTCCACCCAGTGAATGCTGAAATCTGTGACAAGCAGTGCTGTGAAATCTGGAGGGGAGAGGTGATATATCTGAGCAAAGAGCTGTGGAAAATATAACTGGCTTCACAGGGAACATGTCCCTGTTTTTGGGCAGGCATGTTGGTCCTTCTTAATCTCAGTTCTAGAGAGCAATATCAGATATCTCCGCTTCCCTGCTGAGGCAACTAGGACAACCCAGTTCCAACACACAAAATCCCCTTAGGCTCCAGTAAATTAGTCTTTATTGTAAAGCCTGAACAACCCTGGAAAGCCCTGAGGACAGGCTGCTCTTGTACAAGCCAGTTTGGTGAGGAGCAGTCATATACACCTTACCTATGTGACAAGGGCTGGGTTCATCCAAGGGCTGAGGGTCTGGGCTCTGAGCAGAAGAGTCAAAGCAAGACATCATGGGGTGTAGTACATCAATTGTGAGGACAGTGAGCCTGGGATCCTGGAATTTCTGTAGGGATCACCGTGTGAGGAAGAAAGTGAGGGGCCCTTAGCAGGTGGTTCAGGCAAGCTGGGGAGCAGGCAGCAGAGAGCAGGTTGCTGCAGCATCCCACTCGCATCCTGGTGCTTCACCCCACTGACACAGGCTGTGGCTGTCCTAGGGACTGGAGCATCTGCTTGCCAAGAGCTTTTATCTCTCTGCAGAAGTAGCTTGGTTTCCGTAGGGATTCAGATTTAGGTGGAAGATGCTGAGTTTCAGGTGTCCTGACCTCAGACTGAGTCTTTCCTGGGAGGTTTGGGTCTGGTACAACCACTGTGGTGTGGTGCCACCTCCTTCTGTGACAAAGCCAAGCTAGGTCTGTGCTGTGAGCCTCTCTGTGCATCCACCAGCTCCCAGGCACCGAGCCTGAGCTATAAGGACACGCTGCCCCAAAACCACGCTTTTTGGATGCTGCTCACAGGAAGATCCATCCAGAAAATAGAAACCCTCTCCAATTTTTCCTACGCAGCTCTTGAACCAGGTGCTGAAAAAAGGAACTTGTTTGACAGAGTGGTCAACCTCCGTCTGCCAGGTGAGTCCACACATAACTCCCTCCGTTGAAAATATGCTGGAGGTCTGCCCTTGGGAAGCAAGGGGTGGTTTCTACTGAAGGTCGGTGTAGAGGTGCATGGGATGTGACCTCAGGGCACCTACATCCCTGGTTGGGAAGCCAGTCTGGTCCTGTAGGCTGCCACAAAAGTGCTGTCTTCAGAAGACATGTAAACCCTCCAGATGAATGTGTACGTTGGTGCTCTTCCTAGGCAGCTAAGTGGCAGCCAAGCTGTTCTTGGGCAAGGAGGTGTCTTGCTGGGCACTGATCTGACACCAGTCAGGTGGGAGCTGTTTGAAGGGCTCAAAGCGAATGAGGTAGCAGGCTTGGTTACAATGCTCTGAATCAAGTAAAGGTGCCCTGAGTTGCCAGAGGAAGCCATTCTCAGCAACATCTGTCCTCTTCCACCACAGAGCTGAGCTAGGCCTGTTAGCAGAGACTGGCTCCAGGAGCTGTTATTATGGACATCTTGCATTTCCTGTACAGCAGCTGGATTTTTCTGCCTGCTTAGAATCATAGAATCATTTTGGTTGGAAGAGACCTTTAAGATCATCAAGTCCAACTGGTAACCCAGTGCTGCCAGGTCACCACTAAACCATGTCCCTCAGCACCACGTCTGCACAGCTTTTAAACCCCTCCAGAGATGGGGAATCTGCTACTGCTCTGGGCAGCCTCTTTCAGGCCTTTGGGACCCTTTGGGAGAAGAAATTTTTCCTAATGTCCAATCTAAACCTCCCCTGAGGGCACAACTTGAGGCCATTTCCTCTTGTCCTCCTTCAGAGGGGTCAGGCCACCTTCTCCTCTTGAGGCTCGGAAGAGGCTGGGGTGCTCCATTGTGGGGGCAGTGCTTGAGTCTGGGGTTTGCATTAGTGGGGAAGACTCTTCTGCTCTCAACGCAGCCTGTGGCCCCACCGGAGAGCCCAAGTTACGGTCCCTACCTCCAGGACCGCTCTGCCCCCACGTCTGGGGGCAGTGGTGCAGCCCTGCTTCACCTGCCCTGCCATGCCAGCAGCTCCATCTTGCTCTTCTGCTTCCGCAGGGCTGGAGAGCGTAGACCATTACCCAATCCTTGTGGCTGTGACAGGGATACTGGTCCGGCTGCTTGTGGACACTGACATTCAGGGGTGAGTGGCTTTTGCCTTCTGCAGCCGTGCAGGTCGCGTGGCAATCAGGCGCTGCGGCGGGTCACAGGAGCCACGGGGCGTGTGGGGACCGAAGTGAGGCAGATGTGGCTCCTCAGCTCCTGCCGGCTCCATACACATGTTCCCCCGAGACCTGCATCCCAGAACTACTGCTGGGTGCAGGATTCCTTCCTGTGGTGCAGGAAAGCCCTCGGGGGAGGTAGCTATGAGGCGCTGTACTGACAGCATGTGTGCAGCTTCCTCCTCAGGGTGAGGTCTGGCGCTCTGACAGGACAGCTGCTGTTGGGGGTGGTGAGCACAGCACGTTGAAGAGATGTGCCCACATGGTGACGAGGGCAAAGCGCTGTCACGCGCAGCACTGGGTCCAGGGGAGTTCATCAAAGCTCCTGTGTGCTGGGCACATCTCTGGAAACACCAATGCATATGCAGAGCTCTCTGGCTGAGCTCTCACTGCTGTGGTGTGAGGGTGAGACAAACCCTGTCCAGGCACTTAGGTGATGCTGATTTTTGGATAAAGCAAATCTTCTTGTCTTTATGGTAACCAGCTATTCAGAGAGACAGCACCTGGGGGAATGATGGGGCTGGACAAAGCCACAGCTGAGCTGGTGGTTTATGTGTGTCTGTGCTTGTCCTGCAGACAGGCTTATTCTGACACTCTCTGCAGCCCAACGTTTGCTCTCTCCCGGTGCCATTCCTAGGTGTCTTGCCTGAGCACCGTGCCCTGTAGGTTGCTGTGGGAGATGGGCATCTTCTGTCTGCACTGCACATCCGGCTTGGTTTCATGTCTAGAGAACATGATAGTCTCTGGCTTTGGAGAGAGAAGAGCCGCATCTGGCCGAACAGCTTAGCCCCGCAGCCAGTCTTTCAGCTTCTTCTCTCAAGGACTCAAAAGATGTACACAAATACATCTAATTATATCCTGCCTCCTGTGGCTGCTGCACCACTCCACAGCCCCAAGTGTGACAGTGCCAAGAGATTAGCACAAGGTCATTGTTCAGTGGCCTTTCTGGACTGTGAAGGGGGGTCGATTTTGCTCACCCCCAGAGTCCTGCTCTGTGGAAAGGGCAAACATCATGAATTAGATGCCACAACTAGACTTCTTCCTGGAGGGAAGGGGGGAGGTGATAAAGCAGTTCCCTGCATGCCAGGCAGGATGAGAAGTCCTTCCCTGGCTCCCTGTCCCTTGAATATCTATCCCAAGCCACGTCACTTGCAGAATCAAAGAGGAGAAGGTCTAAAGCTCTTCCTCTGGTCCTCAGTGTAGCGAACTCTAAAGAGTGCTGGGAGGGTGGTAGCATGATGACAGTTACATCCTTCCTTGCCCACAGGGAGTCCTGGGGAGACAAAAAGCTTCCAGACTGTGTCTCCTTTACTTGCATAGCCAGTTGTGCTGTGGGTTAGTGAAACCCAGGCAGCCAGTGCCACAGGGGCTGTACCTTGCCAGGTGGCACTGTCCCTGTCTGCCAGGAGAACCCTCCACACACCTCGGGCAGCAGTGGGCTGCGTGGTCAGAGACCAGAGGTGCTGCATCCTGTGGCGTGCCGTTGGGAAGCAGCAAGTCTCTGACTGATCCTCAGGGACTTTGTGGTCACCTCCTCAGGCACTGGAAAGCAGAAATAAACACAGAACAGCAGAATGATGTGAGAAAAGCATTGTGTCCTAGTGGACCTAGATGGGCAGGAGAAGCCCAAGGTGGAACAGGAAGAAGCCCAGGAAAAAATGTCAGTAAAACACATGGTTCTATCTGATTTTTGTAAAGCTCTGCACTAAATCTGCAGGTTTGATAAGTCTTATAAGTCTCTGGTCTATGAAACAGCAAGCAAATGTTGCAGGGGAGCCATGGAGGTCAATCAAGAGAGAACTGAGGCTGTTGGCCTGGAGACCCTCTGCTGCTATCCAGGCAGTAATAACGGAAGGGATTGAAAGGATCTCATGTGTAACCAGGCTCTCCAGAGCAGCTTCCTTTAAGTGAACACAAGAGGACATATCTTTCCTTTTCCCTTTTTCCTTCTTTTCCTTTTTTCCTTTTGCCGCCTTGTCAGTGCAGTGAGCAGGATAACAGGACAGGCTTTTTTCCTTCTTCAGAAGCACTCTGCCCTGGCAGTGCTGGAAGCAGGTTGAAAGCTCTTCCTGGTACAATTTGGTAACTCCTAAATGGCCAGAAATTGTTAGCAGAGAGAATTTATCCAACCCACATTTGCAGGTGGGAATTTCTCTGTGGGAATTACGTAGGACACTAGTGTTCCCCTGAGTGGTTCCCTGCGAGGAGGCTCTGCCCTAGTGAATGAGGACAGGGGACAGGATCTTGGGTGACTTCCTTGGCTTGGCTGTGGTTTTTTGGTTAACCAGCAAGCCAATACTGTGCCAGGCACTTGGCTGGAAAGTCCTGCAACTGTTGCCCTGGGACAGAGAGGATGGGTTCATCCAGGAGAGGAGGAGTGAGGTCCCATTTATGGGGCCAAAACATTCTAGTGGGGAAGGGTGGGAGTAAGGAGAGCCAGGGCACTGCCAGTTCATCCAGCCACATTATCAGGATGCAGTTGGATGCCTCAGATGCTCCTTGTCCAGCACAGGACACTCAGCCAGGCTTCAAGTCCTCTTGCTAAGGACTCCTGGCATCTAACAGCCGTTAAGCACAAGAGAAAGGAACATTGCCCAGGCTGAGATGTGATGAGACAGTTGATACATCATACACCTTAGTCTCTGGGTGGAGTGGGCTGTGCTTTGGGGAGAGAAGAAATGCATTTCCTCATTGGGTCCAGCAGGACGGCTGGTGCTGCTCCTGGTGAACCAAAGCTTCAGCACCCACCTCCTCCAGGCTTACTGGTCTTTATGGCAGAGTCTGGGGATCTCACGGCTCGACTCCCTCGCTGGATGTAGTGAGATTTGCAAACATGAGGCAGAGGAGAAATAGTGCAGGATAGAGATGGAGAGCCGCTACTTCAGGGGGTCCCTCGGCAGAGGGTCTTCTGGTTCCCAGACAGGAGTGTGGCCATTGCCTTGTGTTTCACAGCTGCCTGTCCCTCGAGGGTTTGCTGGGAGGGAGCTGAACCTCTTGTGCCAGCAGTGCCAGGGCAGTCTGTTGCTGAGGGCTGGGTTGTCTCACCAACAGGCTGCTTGCTTTAAAGCTTTTTTGGCCTGTGCCACATTGCTGTAGGACTGCCCGGGACTCCTGCCATGCTCCCCATTCCCATCCCTTGGGTCTGACAGCAGTTGGGCAGCACCTTCGTTGCGAGGCATCTCGGCAGGGATGGCCGTGCAGTGCTCTCTGCAGCCCCAAGGACTGAGCCTTGGCTTTGCGGGGAGGGGAGGGAAGGCAGGATCTGGCAGGCTGAGACAGGAGCTGGGCTGAAGCCTTGGGTCCACGCCAGTCATTGGACCCTGGCTGCCTTCAATCAGTATCATCGCCCCGTTTGTCTGCTAAATAATTGAGCAGACTTTTCTATTAAGCCTTCTTTGGAGTGAGCTAATGGGGCGGCGTTGGCCAGAGCTTGTGTAAGGCTGCTGGCAAGAGCGAGTGGCAGGGGGGGGGGGGGGGCGCCCCGGGGGGGGGGG